GTTTAGGTTAATTACTTGTCATTCTATGTTGCCCTGTGCACAATTCTATCTATTGACATTCTATCATAATTTTGTGATGACCAATGATGCATTAATTTTTTGCTAAACGAAATTTCTTTGCTGAGCGAAGTAGATGTAATCAAAAGTTTTTGTTGGTTATTGCTTTTTTGGTTAACTGGAGCCTTTGCTAACCGAGTTTCTACTGTAAATGCGTTTTAGGGGTGTCCCTATTACCCCGTCGTGCGGAAATGGCCGCCATTTTTTTAATGAGATACGTAAATTCCGTCAATCACGTTTTTAAGCCAACACCTTTGTGCAACTTTTACGTAAGTAAAATTTTTAATACGGCGAATATTTTCTTTGCTACAGACCTTAGCAGAGGTACTTTCCCAGAATCTCACTTTTCACACTTTTTCAGGGATTTCTTCGAGGTAGTAAATGAATGATTTCTTTTTTAACTTGCTTTATGCTACATAGATAGTAAAAATGTTAAACTTTACGCCACTATTTTTAGTTTTGCAATATTTTGATTAGTTTATTTAGCTGCTACAACATTTCCATGAAAATAATGTGAGGCGACTGTCCCGATTTACCCCGCCCGTCCCTTATTACCCCGTTTGGCAGTATTGCAGTTAAGTGAGATTATTGAGAACTCAAACAAATATGCAGATGCCATTTGTTGCTTTTACCTTTCTGCTGGGTTTTATTTTTTCTTTGGATTGTAGGAGCTACTGCTAAGGGGAGATCAATCTCTGATCACAAGACTGCGATCTCCATTCATCTGGCTTGTTTTGCTGCGAGTTTCACATTTGGAGGCTTCAGACTTGGTGGGGAGGGAGCTTTTGAAGGAAGTTCAACATCATTACTCAGATCTAGATACAAGTTCAAAATCCGATACATCTAAGTAGGATGGGAGGTTCTCAGTAGCACCCTATGACCTTATGATGAGTTTAGGACTTCATAGTCCACGGTCAAGCTGATGCTCCGCCTTCGTCGTCCTCCGTCTCCGAGTCGTCGCTGGGCAGGTCACCCCGCTCTCGGGTCCTGGATGTAACGTTGGACGTGTTCCGTCTATTTGCCCTCCTTTGGGCCAGCTGATGCAAGATGCTGTTGCTTGTTACTTGCTGATGGTAGTTTCCCATTACTGGTAAATACGGGATCTTCTTCAGAAACCTATTCAGTTGTCTCTTGAAAGTCGCGAGGGTAAACTCCCCTCCTCTCAGCACCTTTGTTAAGGCGTTAAACAGCCTTGGTCCTGCCACGGACAGTGATCCCTCACGAAGAGTCTGTACTGTGGCCGCGACCCGGTTATTAAATGGGTGAATCCTGCACAGCCTCCCCCTCGTTTCGTTGTAATGTGTCACTATTCTGGAGGTTTCACATTCAAAGTCGGAAGCTGTCCGGTTATCATTTTCCAAGTGTACAGTATGATATACTTCTCTCCTCTCCTCTCCAGTATGTACAGTCCCAGGTGTAAGGTGTTTCAGCCTTCCCCAGTAGTTCAGGTTCAGCTCCCTCATGCCGCTGATGCTGTACGTGAAAGCCCACTGCACTGTATCCATTTTCCGCATCGCACCCTCCTTGAGCGGCGCCCAAAGCTGAGATCAGTACTTTAGATTGGGGAGCTTCAGGGCTCTGAAGAGTGTGCTGCTTCTCTCGTTCTAAATGTCCGCCATATCCACCCCATCCGTTGCCGGCTGCGCGCGACTATTTCCTCGATATGGGCATCGAAGGTCACTTTAGTACTCATCAAAACTCCGAGATCTCGAACTAGTTGCTTCTCCTCAATTTCTGTGCCACCTGATGCCAAATAGCGATGTGGCATCCCGATCTCTGTGCGGACTCTGTATCCCATTACTTCGAACTTGGTGCCGTTGAATTGCATGTTATTCACTGGGGCCCAATCATATATTGTCGACAAGTCGTCCTGTTACCTCTCGCAGGCTAGATCCTCTGTGATCTTCATCAGCACTCTTGTATCGCCCGCAAACAATGATGTTGATGCGTGGGTAAGTTCTGAGTCGATTTCGGCGATGAGGAAGAGGATTGGTGCCTAGCTGTGGCACTCCGCTTTTCACTTTCGCTTCTCTCGATTTTGAGTTTCCAATTGCGACAGCTTGTACTCTATTTGTAAGAAAGTTGTGGATCCTCCCTAACAGGTTTCCTCCTACCCCCTACCCCCAGCAATCTTATCAGAACAAACACAATTAGCAGAGGGAGACATAGCACAGAGAGCATGTGCAGATGGGCTCCGCTTTCCTGTTGATATTTTGTCATATTTGCGTGATGCTGGGGGCAATGGTTCAGCTTTAAAACAACAACTTTAAACTTTAAAGTTACATGCATTCCGTAGTTGCCTTTGGATTTCTTCTTCTATTTCTACATCTGGGTCAATTGGAGAAACTACACCATAGTGATATTTGCCAGTGATGGTAATGTGCATGTCACATTCCATGTTCCCCGTGTTCCTATTTTTTAAAAGTTGAATAAGAAATTTATTTGGTCTTTTTCAGCCCTTGCGAGTTCTATTGCAAGGAGTTGCCATCGCATATTCACTTGTACGTCAGATATATACTCATCTTATTGTAGGGTAGAATTTGGAGTATATGGCAAAGTTTTGCTGGTAAGGTCAGGGTTTTCCGGTCTTCAACTGAGACTGGGTGGACTATGATCAAACGGATGTCAGGGTTCTGATTATATAGTCACGGTATGAGGTTCAGATACTAAAAGAGGACCACTGGACCAGGCATGGCTGGAGACAGGAGGTGGATTAACTGGGTTTTTTGTTCACAGTGGCCTGAATTCCGTTGCGGTATATTCTTCTTATACTTCTCACATGCTGTTGCTCTTCAACAAAAGATCCCCTCCTCTTCTGGCCTACCGAGTCACTTGCATATTCCATAGCTTCCAGGGCGCTTTTTGGCATGTCATTCACCACCGTAGCACTAGTAGGACTATGTTCCGCTTCCAAGAAATGCTGCAACTGTGATGTAGTGAGATTCTCTATTTTTGGGTTAGCTCCGGGATCAAAAAAATCCGCGGCACTCGCAGTTACGTTGGAGAAAAAAGGAAACGACTACCGGAGCACTTATATCTTCGTCACGAAGAAACAGTCGAAAATTGCAGGAAAATAAGACAGTGCGAAGGTGCATAAAGAGGCTGTCTGAATTTCTGCGGATTCCAGAATTAATTTGGTCAAATTCCATTTCAAAATTTTATAACTTCATTCAAGTTTCAAATTGCAATGTTTAGAATTTAGAAAGCAAACTTTATAGGAGCGCGATATGCTGTAGTATATTACTTGACCCACAAAAATGCGACAGGTGGAGGCGCACGGACCGTTCCTTTATGTATGACAAAATTGTAATTATCAAAAAATAACTTTTCCACTTAGATCATTTTTATTTAATGTGTAAGAATTACCTCGGTATCAAAATCCAAAATAATATGTGAACATCAATATGCATGGCTAAATTTCATATTACTCATCCAATTATTTAGAATAAAAATGATAAATGAACCAAAACGAGTAATCCAACCCATTAAAAAACCGTGTACACGAACCTCCACTCACCGAAAGTAAGTAGGTATGTGTCGGACCATTTCGTCGGTTTATTCTTCTACTTCATCGCATAATAAGTGACGAATTGTATGAAAAAAAAAACTTTCTCGTCTAAAATGAAGTGTCACAAAATGATATCTTATCGATATATTAAATAATAGATGTCAAAGAATTCTAAGGAAACTTCTTGTTTTCTGACTCGTAAAAATCTGCTTCTTCTGCATGGTGATTTTTCTAGAAAATCATAATATTTATAATATCACGAAAACGAATCATTGATTGACACTTAATATAGTTCGGGGAAAATGTTTATTCTTCATGATCTAAAAGTACACTGTACACGAATTGTCAAAGTTTAACCATAGCTTGTTGAATTTAGTTCACATTGGCTTCAATGAAAGCTTAGTGAGAGGTAATAAAATTCCTAAAAATTAACTGTAAAATTTATAAATGTGAAGTTATAGGGTAATCTAATTTAGTTCTATATTCAAATGTAAATTAAGGCCGGGTTCACACCATACTGCCGGGCACTTGCCAGGCATATGGCAGTCACGGTTCGGTCCAATATTATTTATTGCATTTCTATAGAAGCATTCACACCATGGGCTTGTGTATAAATGCATTAATGAATAATGTACTGGACCGTGACTGGCACGTGCCCGGCACTATGGTGAGAGCCAAGCCTAAATCCCTGCAATTTAAAAACCCCGTAACAAAAATTCAAGTTAATACCAATAAAACTGATTTATTTTAGTTAAAGATTGGCCAGTTTAATCGTAAAGTTCCCATGTTACGTAGAATCGAGTATGTTCGTTTCAAAAATCGGCAAAATTTTAATTTTTTTCAAATTAAATGGACATAACCTCCTTTTAAATAAATTTTTGGTTTCGGGTCCATACCACCTTGCTTTTCTTTTAATGTTATGCAAATTTTCTCTCGCTGACAGTTAAATTTTAGGTCCAAGCAATATCTCGCCGCCATAAGTATCTTGTATACGCACCCCGCCTCATTAGCCCCTATATATTTGTGGCACCATAAGTATCCTGCATGGATACGCATACCCACAGCCGCTATACTGTATATTGCAGTGTCATGAGTATCATGGATACGCGCCCTAAAAGCAATATATATTGTGGTGTCATGAGTATCGTGGATACACGCCCCCACAGCCCCTGTCCTAAGTATACTAGATACGTGCCTATAGAGCCTCTATATATTTCGGTGTCAAAAAGATCCTTGATACGCTCCCCACACTCCCAATATATTTGTGGTGTCATAAGTATACTGGATATGCGCCCCCACAACTTTTTTATGTTTTTGGTGCCATAAGTATCCTGAATACGCGCCACCACAGCCCCCATATATTTTTGGTGCCAGGCTTACAAAACACATAAACATTGAAAAATAATTATTTTTTGTATACTTGATAGTGATAAAAAATGAGAAGTATATAAGTCCTATTATGAGTGCACTGCGCAATAATTATTGATATGTCATTTGGTAACACATCAAGATCAACACAAGCATTCGAGTAAAGACTAAGAATTACATTCCTGCAATATTATATTTCCATCGCAGATTTGCCGCTTGTGACTTTTGGTAACAGTTGTAGTATATAGGTGACTTGACGGAACAGAATTCATGGCAAAAATGCTCGATTGGAAATTTAGTAATTACAAGAGGTCGAAGATCTATATCAGAAAAAAAGAATAAAATTACTGGTTCCGTGCATGAAAATTTATCGTGAATTTCGACTAAATATCTGTAACCACATAAAATAGTGAAATGGTATTAGTGGTACGGACAGACTTAGAAAAGTAAAACAAGGATAATTATAGTCGCTATCCTTATAAATTTGTAAAATTTCTTACGAATGAACGACCTACAGGCTGGAAGCGAAGCTAGAATTACATTACCTACCGATTTAAGATTTGCGTTGGGGTTAAAAAAATAATTGTAAAGAAATGGGAAGGATGCTAATAAGAATGGATGAGCAAGAATGCGTCAGTAAATTATTAATTTAAAAGAACTACAATAATGACCGTAATAATAACAAGCAGATGAAAACATATATTCTCAGCTGCTCTTAAAATTCGATGGCCTTTTTCGAATTTTCAAAAGTGATGTTCAAAAAAGGATCACTAATATAATAATTAATTTTTAAATCTTAGCGTATGCAAATGAAATAATACAGTCAAAAACACTCAGTAGGTCACTCGACTGAAAGATTTACTTCAAATGGCCATTCTTTCAGGTCAGGCATTTGTAATGTACAAAAGTTCATATAAGTCTGTATGCATGCAGAATGATATCCAATTCTTGCTTACACTGAAATTAGTAAAGAAAATATTGTGAACATTTCATAGCAGGAAGAATTTCATACCTGAAAAAATTGAACGCAACAAATCGGAAATATCAACGGTCAGGTAATATGTTTCTGACTTCAATTATCAAAGGCGTTTTGTAACAATTCGTAAATAATTGTACTTGATAATATTATAGGATAAATTGTTGTAAGTAATATTCTTCGTAAACAGTTCCTAATTTAACTTTGTGTGGATACAAAAATATTTTTTTATATGGGAATAGAAGTGACTATTATATGATAATTCTTCAATGACACCGCGATAATCCAGAGAATCGTTTTTTATTGTTCAGCGGCGGGCTAACATTATACCTGCAACGGCAGCAGTCGCCGCTGCAACAGTAGCAACCGGCGCAGCCACCATACCAACTATTTTTAGCTTCCATTTATTTCTGTTGTGATCATTAACCTCGATGTAGTGAAGGAGGTGGTCGTCGATTTCCTGGAATATATGATAGCATTAGGTCAGGGGATATCGTTGTCATCTGCCCTCGGCTAACTAACAAGAGTGATTCATGATATATTCGATTATAATATAATTTCTGATGAAATATAATTTTCTATGAACCGAGAGTTTTCTCAGAAACACCCGTTAGTGTACACTGACCACGAGGAGTGTTAAAGATGCATTTAATATAAATAGCAGGAAATCAGCTGCACATACATAGCTTTTCACTCCGATTCACATGATAATGCCATCGCTTTGTATAAATCATAATTGAACATCGTTTTTATTTACCCATCCATGCAAATTCGCCCATTATTCCAACTCTTTAATCACGGAAGGACAATGCTAATTTTAATGGAAATTAGTTCATTTTTTGCCTTTTCCAGATCGTTGAATGCAAAAATATATGGTTATCCTGAACTATTGATATCTCAAGTGGCTCAATAATTAACAAATGATCAGATTCATTCCTTAATTTTGGTCAGAGGATATCAAGACTGATGTGAAAATATCAATTGGCTAAATTGATGAACGATGAAATGGATTCGTATTATGTGGTCAGATCTTAACAATTTACGTGACTGATCATATAGGAATGTGTTCAAATATGAAGAAACTTCGAGGGGGAGTTTTACTAATGAATTTCTATGGCAAGTTTTGCTAATATTAATTTGCTTGTCAGTTGATTTTACTAGATGCAATTGAGATCCAGTACGGCGTTCCGTCAGCTCATGGAATAAATCCAGTATTTTAATTTTTTTGCCTTCATGCAATTTATAAACGATGCAAACACGCACTAAGATGAAATTATCAGATGCGTACAAAAACAGTAGAATACACTGATGGAATTTAATGTTTGAAATTTTCATAGATTGGAGTAGTGAAATATTTGAAATTTTCATAGATTGGAGTAGTGAAATAGTCGAAATTTTCATAGATTGGAGTAGTGAAATAGTCGAGATTTATGGATCGAATTAGTTGAAAAAAAATTTAGATGCTAATAGGAACTCGGTCGCACAAGAATTGAACTTTCTCATGTATTCACTCACCTTTTCAAGTTGCTCTTTAACGTCATGAACAACCGGAAACAGTTCACTGCTGTCTGCGTATTGGTTTTCTCTGAGGTAGGCTGCGACGGCGTCACGCTTGTATGCCAAGTGTTGGCTCGACAGAACGGTGGTCTCATATGATTTTCCATCGGGGAAGAAAATAGAATTCATGGCATTTTTGTAGACTTCAAGAGCAATATTACGAGCTCCATCACTGCATACGAGCGCCATCATCTGAAAATTTTATGCGAAAAGCATTAAAGATACGTATTTTTCTTACGTTAAACTTACAATCAGGTCAAGTATAGTGTTTTGCTGCTTGGGCCTAGTTATAGGTGAAAAATTGCAGAATAGAACGAATAATAATCAGGAACATAACTAGAAAGGGTAATTTACAATGATCTCTGACGACAAATAATGATTAAGAGTAAAATCGGGCTTTTAGTGGTATAGAATCGACTTTTCTTAATCTATCATTATCTTAATTGAGTTAATTGATACTTTAAAATACGTTAAGTCACAAAAGCATAAAATGAAACAGAGAGACGGTAAAATCGTGTTTATCTCAGGATATTTCAGATTGAAGTCCACGAATGTACATTAGCAATCTTTTTATAACTTTTCCTATCTCAAAACCTCAGCCAGACTGGTGGGTTCCACCAGTTTTCCCTCCCTGAAGATCGCCATGTAGGTCTTGATGAAGTCCACCAGCTCTTCGATCCCCGGTGGCGGGCTGTCCCCGCCGCGCCGCTGAACGCTTCACCACGAGGCGCTCAGGCGCCAGCAGGCGAGGCACCAGCAGCTTGATGTGCTCCACGAATTTTGGGCTCAGTTCTGTTCATAAATTCTTAAAAAATCCTATACAAAATCTCTTGCATATTACGTAAGTGAAATGTCAGCTTGAACGCTAATATGGGGGTTGTGTGTTACAATTTTTTAAATGTCAAATTTTTGCAGCGGTTGCCACATAAAATTAAGATCAAATTGATCTTAACTTTATGTAATTTATTTGATAATTTCCGAATAATTGATTTTAAGTGCAGGAATACCAACGCTTAACATAGTGCGCACCAACGCTTTAGTGCGTTCGCACCAACGCTTTAATAAAGAACTCACATTCAATTTCAGTTCTCTGCATGATATACATTATTTGTAAAAACACTTGAAGTGGGCAACGTTCATGACTGTGCAACTCAATGTTACACAATATCCAAGTAACAGGTCCATGATATCCAATAGTAACATAAAGTCATGGAGAAGGGCGCTCACGATTTGGTCGACCATCAAAATTGGAGTCTTCGGCCGGGCCGGAGCCGATGTGCGGCATGAGGTAGCACTCCAGCTTCTCAAAACTCTGACGGAGGCCTTGTCTCAACCTCTGGCGGGCCGACTCATGCATCGGCTTCTCCGCCTTTTCCTTTGCGGGAAATTTGAAGAACATCAACCGTAAACAGCAGTCTGTTATTTTATATTTTATTTCAGGGCATGTTAGGGGGGAGCACCATCAAAATAAGAATTGAAAAATCAAAGTCAAAAATTATTATCGAGATAACCGAGGATTCTAATGCTATAAATGTTAGAGGAGAAGATATGCCAATGCCTATATTTTATCACGAATGTACAACTGCTGCAACTGATTTGAAGACCCATTGGAGGAAGCACACTTCATCAGCCTTATATGAATATTTTAACAAGATGGCTCTGTCAAAAGTTCAACTTGTTCGATATCGGAGAAACAGATGATTTCCCTTATACATATAATAGAAGATGTCTTAAAATCACTCTCAGCATACTGAATCTTCACGCTTATATCTTGACTAATGCCCTCTCACTCTGTCAATAACGAAAATATTTCATCAGCTTAGACTGCCTTCCTCAAGCTTTTGTCTCGGACAGGATAAGGTAACCGACGTCATTGTCCATCGCATCAAAAACCCTGGTAATGCGGGTTACCTCTTGAAGACTGAATTTGTAGGGCTGAATTTGTACATACTCTTAATTATTCGCATCTAAATATGTAAATCCATTATACATATATTTAATCTACGTGTAAATCTGTAATTGCAACCTATATTCTGAACAACTCACCCCTAGCTGGCCTAGCACTTTCTCCAGTACAACTTGACCGCCCTCGTGGCCACATGGATGCTGCTGAGGAAAATTCCAGTCGCGCACCAGGAACAATAGGTTCTGGAATGTTCAAAAGTTTTAAAAATGTCTGTACGTAAATTTGCGAACTCGTTCTAACTACCTTCAATAGTGAGCGTTTCTAATGACTTCAAAACGCGCGATTCATAACAATCAATTATTTGAAACGGGAAGATGAAATTGTTCAATGAGTATATTTCTTCAGAATAATCTATACTATATAAATTTGTAATGAGCCATCCGACTTTGGAAGCAAACTCCACTGAATGAGTTAGAATTTACCCAATGAGTCAGCAAGAAATCAGTAATGATGGAAAGCATTCATCAGTAAAACTAATGATGGAGTCAGAAACTAAAAAAATTAACTTGAAATCGTCCACGGTATTTCTGCTCAGAAATAGAACTATTGGCCCGTTAACAGTAATTAAGGATCATAGTAGATGCCGTGTACTATTGGTAGTAAATGATATATTCTGTTGGTCTAAGTCCTGCATTTTCGTCGACGACATCAACAGGGCCCGGGGAAGGTCGAAGGCACGAGGGTTGTCCATACCTATCTAACCACATGATTACTTGCCATCAGATCACTTCGAATGGCAGGTCATGCATGCAATACTTCTTGAAAATTTTACGCTTCTATTGTTTCTAATTATTATTGTAATACTTGAAATGTGCATATCTGTACCTGGAATGCGCGCGACTCTTTGATCTCCTTCTGCGCCGAGGCTCCGTAGGTGCTGAACGTCTGCAGGTTCATGAGGTCGTCCTCGCGGATGTTGTTCATGAGGTTGTACACCGTCACGGAGGAGGTCAACAGCGTTATTAAAAGCTTTTGTTGGAATGAGCTTGTCGAAGAAAGGCTTGTTTAAAGAGACTCAGTAACGATTGTAAAGCGTTTAATTAAAACATTTGCTTCAGAATGAAATGTGCCCTCAACCTAACTGATAAAGAGGCTTTTTAAATCGATTTCTGGGTGGACCATGAGTGTGGGAGACCAATTCCTGCTGATTGCGTCACTTGCCCATCAACAGAGGCAAAGGAGGACGACGCTATACAACTAATTTGCTGTATTGTATATTTAAATAACTTAGAATTACATTTAATGGTCGCCTTTTATTCAGAATGTAGGGAGCACATCAAAATGATCTCTATTGTTCTTCATTTTAGGGTGCCAATCAATTTACCCGTGAGCTCAAAGACCATTAATTGCGGACTAAAAATTAACCCTCTCAAGGACAAGAAGTTCATGTCCGTAGCATTTTTTCATCACCGTGGGAAATAGAGTTTATCAAAATACACAGTTGCTTCTCCAAAATAAACCTTCTTAGATAATTCATATAAAATAGTTCAAACTAACGAAAGAAGATAGTTATATATAAGGAAGACAAAAAATCAATCCTGTTGTCGCTGATATAGTAGATAAGAGCCCACTAAACATACCCGCAACGAGGTTTGGGTGTCGAACGTGCCCTGAGTATCCATGAGAATAACTGCCACCTGCAAACAACAGAGAATTAGTTATTTCTCCACCTTCTCTTCTTAGAGTACTTACTAGCGAAGAAAATTTAATTAATGAGAACATTTTTACAATGAGTCAATTGCACAAGGAGATATACGAGTATTTCATAAAACACACTCACTGCTCAATGAACTTATAACGCGCGAAAACATTTCACATTAGAGAATGCATACCGTGTTCAGCTTCCGAATAGCTGCTGATTGCCTGTTGATATCAAGTCCATTATTTAGATTTGCAAAGAATACTTTCGACAAAATGTTGTTTCTTGGGTAACACAGGAAAACGTTTTAAAAGTTTTCCGTGTGCAACTGATAGAATCGGTTATCAACGGTAATTTGCAAAGATTACATATTAAATCCTTTAAGATTGAACTCACTTCTTTGCCGCTTGGTTTATCGTAGATAGTAAAAGGTTTGCTCCAGATGTAAATGCCGGCGGTCTGCCCCTCCATGCCTCTGCTCCAGACGAAGCCTTCCAGCGGCTGCGACGGATCACCCAGCCAGTTCGGTGAGCCCTGAGCAACGTAGAATCAGCGTAAGTCAAGCTGAATGAAACTTAATTTAAATGAAATTTATAGTAGATTGTTTTGCGGGCTGCAATTTCTGCAACAACTAAGAATTCTGCTTCGACGTTTGTCTTACATATCGTCCAATAATGAGAAGAATTCAATTATTGAACGGGTGTATCTGAATGTTTCGTCAGAAAAATTTTCTGTGACCTACAGTGGGTGCAAAAAGTATCCGACACATAGGAAAAGCTTTATTTAATTATAGCTTATAAAACATTATAACATAATCAAACACTATTCTAATGTAAATTTTCATGGGAAAAAATCAACACAACAATATTATCAAATGTTGACTTGATAAACGCAATTTTCTAAAATTCAAGGTTCAAAAGATATCCAACACACCTAAAAAATAGAATTTGACTCGCCAATAATTTCTCATCCATTATGTTCGAGGGAATAGACTAAATCAGAAAACGATGGAATGTTCTAGAATGCAAAAGAACGTCATAGACATCTGTCTAACTGCAGTCATTCATTACCTGGCATCGTCATTGGAAGGTGGGCTAAATTTTATGCTCGTCAACAATGCTAAATCTGCAGAATTGTCTGAATAAACTAGAAAATCAATTATTCAGCTACACAGAGATGATTTAGGATATAGAAAAATTTCATCTGTGTTGAATATATCTTAATTTCGACAGTTGGTGATACTGTTCGGAGGAGGAAATCATTCTATCTTTCGTCTAATCTGCCTCGTTCTGGGCGTACTACAAAAATATCCGACCGTACAGCTAGGAGTTTAGTTCGAAAAGTACAGAATAATCCGACTGACTCGCTTTGAATTATAAAAAGACTTGTAATCAAGTAGGACAAATGTTTGCAACAATACAATTAAGACAGTTCTTCGAGAGAGGGGATTCCACTCTCGCTCACCGAGAGAAACCTCTCTCATTAAGGAAATTCACGGAAAGAATCGCCGGAACTTTGCCAAAGAACACGTGAGTAAACCTTTAAGTTTTGGGGATAAAGTATTATGGTCAGATGAGACTAAAATTGAGTTGTTTGGTCGGAACTGTCAGCGGTGTTTGGAGACAGAAGAACTCTGCGTTACACCAGAAGAATACCGTCCCTACAGTGAAGTTTGCAGGTGGCAGCATATGGAGGTGGCAGTTTGGAGGTGGCAGCATTTGGAGGTGGCATAATAATATGAAGTTTGGAGGTGGCAGCCCCAAAGCATATTGTGCTTTGGGGTTGCTTCTCTTCTGCAGGCCCTGGGGAATTGGAAATCATGGAAGGAAGGATGAACTCCGAAATGTATCGGGTCATTCTTAAGAGATGTCTCGTGAAGTCAGCAAAAAAATTGAATCTACCTCGAAGTTGAATATTCCAACAAGACAATGACCCTAAGCGCGCGGCTAGGGCAACTCTTGCATGGTTTCGGGAGAGAGGGACATTGAGTTATTGGAATGGCCAAGCCAATCACCTGACCTCAATCCGATTGAAATATGTGGCGGGAATTGAAATTAAGAGTACAAGCGAGAGAAATCTTCCAAGAAATCTTATCCAATTGAAAAAAAATATGCAGGGAAGAGTGGGCTGAAATTCCTATTGGCATATGTGTCGATCTTGCGAACAAGTATTCTAATCGGTTAGAAGAAGTTTCGGCTGCTAAAGGTCACATAACGAACGTTTGAGTAAATTTGTTCACTATGTGTTGGATTCTTGTTACATCTGACTTTCACAAAATTTATATTATCAAGTCAACATTTATTGATATCATCGTTTGATACGTTATTTGCATTTCTCATGCAAATTTACATTAGAATAGTCTTTGATTTTATTTTGTTGAATAAGCCTTAACTAAATAAAGTTTCTCCTCTGCGTCGGATATATTTTTCACCCACTGTACGTCTCGTAAGTTTCATGAATAGATTAAAATATTTGAGGTTGTCGCAAGTCTCACTTCATTGACGCAGTATTTCACTAGGAAGTTCAGAAGGAAGCTCTTGCCGGTCCTGAACGCCCCCGCCACCGCCACCACGCAGACGGGTTTGTCGCCCACTTCAGGCCGCAGCAGGACGCCCCGCAGGGCTGCCTCGTCCAGCGCGAACTCTCGAGTCTCTTTGTTCTGAACAACGATAGCCACAGGATGGCCGGACATGATAACGACGGTGACAATGAATTTAATGAATACAGTTTCTTAACTCCTGGAATGTTAAGCAAAATTAATGACAAATGTAGAGACCGCACCGTAGTTGATAAGCACACCTGCCGCCGTCTACAAAGGGTTTTCCTGCAACACTGAAGGTAAGGGCTGCTCTATCTTTACGTCAAGTTGACTGTTATCTAGACTATCTTGTGGATCTAGATATTTAGCCCTAATTATTACGTGTTTCATGCAGAACGATTGTTAGTGAAATTAAAACCGTACACACACACGAACGAAATGTTCGTTCATGGACATCTTATAGATGAAGTCCAGAGATCTATTATGCTCATAAAATGTAAACATTATAAAAAGAGAGTAGTCAAGCCCTGTGCCCTAAAAAATATCAGAAGGTATAAGCTCATCAGAAGGCTTCGCATTTCTTCCTCATGTCTAGCGGAACCTGATAAGATAAGGAAAAAATTGAGTATACCGTGCTGAAACGTAGCACCGACATGAGTGTTAAACTTCATAAATGGGCAGTGTGTCGATACATAATTTGAAGTATTCTTCTCACAAGGGGACAAAACTTATTAGCTTATTTCTGATGCAGATGACAGCTTGATTTTAGTGATCAAACTCACAGGCTTAATCTCATAAAAAATTCAAGAAATACAAAACTCACGATTAGAATGCATTGTTTGAAGCTACTCAACAACATGAAACTCGTGTAGCACCATGAGTCACGCTTTACCGTGTCAAGTCCTGTTTCGTGGTACGCGTGAACTTTCATGATCAAATTTTTGCATCACGATGCGTATGTAACCTTAGTAGGGTTTTCCGGTCAGCTGTTCATAATCTCTTCCGGGGAATATATCACGAAAGTTCCAACACTATTTATTGAATGGGCGAACAAATAAGCATTAAATCTTAACGTACATTAGTCTAGAAAGGCACTCTGAAGAGAGGCACTTTCAGAAGAGAATTGAATCTTACGATTAACAACCAGGACATGAAATACCATGCACGCACGTACGTGGTAATTGCTCCCGTCCGCTGCCCTATTAACTATCTGTAACATTCTGGATACCAGCTATTTCGCCACTTAATGACCAATTCCTTACAACGTACATGTTGCCACACGATATGTAAATAATTGCATCACGACACGCGTACATTACATCAAATTCCGCGGATTACCTCATTGTGAACAAGTGGGTAGCTAGGGGGCTTAAAGCCACCCAACAGACACTTGCAAGACCCTGCGGTTGGTCAGGTCGTGTCGTCTTGTACCACAAATAAACATTCATTATTTGTGATGGAGAAATAATTTATGGATGGTAATAATTATACAATGAAGCAATTTTTAAATCGAATTTGTGTGCACCTACTCATTATTAAATTGGTAAAAAAATCGTCTAGATATAACATTTATGTTACATATGAAAATGAAAATTTTTTAATTACCAACGGTATCCTATAGTGCGTCATGGAAACAATGATTGACGAACCAATAATCCGGTTGTCGGTAATCGAATTCATACCTCAATTAATTATGTCTGCGAAGCAGCCTGATGTCCAACTTATCCAGCGCAGTTTCTGCGACATCCTTGACCGTGTGTCTTGCGCCGAACAGACCGCCACCGATACCCATAAAAGCTGGTAACATTAGGCGCATAATTGTTTGTGGTGTGAAACCATTGCTTTGCTGTGGCTTCGAGAGGACTCGGTACAAACTGGTATATGACCTCAATAGGCAGGTTAAGGCAGTTGCTCTTTATCCAGTCGTAATGCCTGGTCAGAGTATTTACGCATTCAAGAACTGACTAGATAAAGCTATGGAGAAATATATGTTCAGACTTGAAATGCCTAGCAGGCTAGCACCATATATAGAACCTGATAGAAGTCTAGTAACTATTTCAAAAGGTTTAGATCTCCTGTGAACAAGTCACGAAAAGTCAAGAATCAGCGACAGGCCACATCAGGCCTATCCTTCAGCGCCGACATCACTATGTTATGTTAAGTGTAACGTACAATTTCGTATTTTATGGGACGTGATGACCACTCAGACATTACAGAAACTCAGGATTAACTCTTCAGCTCGAATTAACCAGCAGGTTAAACCCGGTGCTGCTTGGGACCGATGATCGATGAGATAAATAATGCTTTTATGTTCGATTTAATCGTAATCTGACGACCAAACTATTGTTATTCCAACAAATTAAAGAATTTCCAGAGTAAAAAAAATCATGTTGAAAAAACACTCCTTCAAACCCCATTTTACCTTTGGCTCCAATCTGAAATTTGAAAGAAATGTTTGCCTACATTCTAACGTTAATTTTAGTTTTACTTATCATAATAAAGTTTGGAATTCAAATTTTGGAAAATTGTGGGGAAGATCTGTGGAAAAGAACCAACAGGGAATAAATATATATTAATTTGAAATTCAAGGGAAAGCAACCATCCCCTCGGACCTGAGAATTCCCTCAGCTAGGGAATTTTTATCTTCAGGAACTGTATTCAAGCAGCTTTTACTAAGGGAAGGAATTGCTAAATTCGCCGTTTAGGGTTCCTATTTAATTTAGTGTACGAAATCATGAAGGAATGTTTTTTTCTCATTGTTTTTGTGTTATTTGCGATGCAATAACATAATATCTATACCATTTTTTGAATTTCAAAGTATGTCCCTCACCTTCAGGGGAGCATTCGTCACCATAAATCAATAACACACGTGTCGCTCATAAGGCTCATCAGACAAACAGCGAAAATGTTAGATGGTATATTCTATTTTGAACAATATTTTTATAAAATGAGGATGAATAAACAATCGGGTTGCAAAAAAATGTACTGTACCAAGATCCAACGACTTGAAAAATATACTGTACTTTTAATATTTATTTTATTAGTGAGTACAGTTCTTTACGTCCTCTATTAATTTTCCGTCATTAGAATGAACATGGTAAAAAATATCTGCAAATAACGAGTGCAAAAATGTAAATGGATTTTCTAGGTTTACATACAAATTATATATTGACTCTATGCCCCATGAAAATATTTATAGAATAACCATTAAAATTTTGTACATGTTATTTTTTAAAAATGATAAATTCATCCAAAAATGGAGACATATATAATATTGCTTCTCATAAATGTCGCATGTCACAATCTCCTGACGGTTGTACACTCTCAGTGACAGACAATAAGTATGGTACAGTGGAGTGCCTGTTAATTCCTCTCAGTGACGTACACTACACCGTATAAAACAAATTCATCATATAGTTGTAGGAGAAGCGAATTATATCAAACACGCATAATAACAGCATAAAAAAGCACAGTTCAGTAGCCATTGCTATCGTTCATGACCAGTTAATGATGACAAGCAGGAGGAATATTGACACAAGCCTACTTCCCAAAAAGGATAAGTTGCTAGTGAGCACAAAATGACTTGCATTGATGGTTGCTGTTGTGTACAACAATTTAGGATGTTCTCAGTAGCGGACAACCATCCTCAGGTTGCTCCAGTCAACCTGGGCATATACTTTCAAAAAAAGTTAAGAGATCGTAAGTTCATTAGCCAGTCATTGACTGCAAAATCTACCAATCATAGACAAGAAAATAGAGCGTAAGTACTTACGTTCACTTAGCGAGTTTTGAAAGTATGGTCACAGCAGTTTACGTATAATTTTACTTAAAAGTTATTTTTCCAGAGAGTAACATATACGGCGGTTAGCGTATTAAATAAGCATCACGTAGAATCAACTTCGAAGAAAGTCAGTTAGTGTCCATTAAATATTATATCAAATGTCATTTCCAATGAGCAGAGCATCATACAAGCAATACCACAAACTAAAATAAGTACAGCATTATATTAGCAGAACCTCGTTTTTGAAATACAATAAATCGAAAGGTCGCAAATTGTAAAATTAGCTAAACATTAAGTTTGCCTTCCTTCGAATTAGCTTAATATATTGAGACAGTCCTGTATCAAATTCTTGATTGAGCAAGCTGGCTGCACTAAAAGGTAGCATAATATAAAGTTACTAAAACATCAAATACTTAAATTGTGAAGTTGGCTAAATATAGGTAGAAGGCTACCATAAGAGCAGGAGAAACAAAGAAAAATTTAGAAAATCGCCATATTAGCCTTAATACATTTAAGCCAAATCAAGTTAAAATAACAAACAAATACCTATGATTTTTAGCTTAAAAAAACATCAGGAAATATTGGCACATTGCTGTAAATACCAAATGGGCAAAGTTAGAACTTGTAAAATATTCAATCATTGAAGAAATAAGTTCAAATAATATCAAGGCAACAACGAAGAAATTGTTAATCAAGCTAATAGAATATCTAGCTGCTCTGGGCATCTATCTAGTTGGCATTGCATCAAGTTTCTAAGTCATCCAGGTAGGTAAATAGAATATTGGCAAAAATATGTATTTAAAATGTTGAAGTAAGGGAAAGTTTTATTTGTCGAAACTTGATCTGTGCGGCGTCAAGTTGAAAAAAACTTATAGTAACGCCCCCAAAGATACTCATAGACAGGATCATTTAATTCAATGTTTCTTCATACAGAAGAAAAGTTTATTGAAAGTATCTTCATACCAATGATCAGTTAATTGGAAGTATTTTCATACCGAGGATCAGTTGATTAAAAGTGTCATCACAGTGAGAATCACTTAATTGAAAGTATTCAAATATATTTTCTATCGCCGGTTATAAACTGGTCACTTACTATCGCTCCCCCTTCATTCGGCTGTGCGTGCTCACGCCGAACAGTGCGATGTTCTAATTTCTGATAGTGCATGACTTCTTGGTTTTAGCTTCCGCTTCCGGTGGTTTCGATTTGCGCATTGATTGTATATTTTAAATCAGACGCCTAGTTTAACTTTAGTTTTTATCTCCTAACCACCTGAAATTGTAAGTAGATAAATTTTACAGTTTAGGTCTTGTTGTAATCTTGACTAATGACTGATTTATCTGGGTTCTAGAATTGTCGAACTGACGATGGAGCTGGACTCCGAAACGTTTTCTATAAAGATAGTATGAATTTTCGTAAATTTTCTTCGTTTAAGTTTTTAGTGAATTTGCGATTGAAGCAAACGAGTGACATTATTGTTTTTCCTGGTAAATTACAAACC